CATTTGTATACTTAGTTTATATACACCTGGGGTCCTTGAAAGACTTTTCAGGTAAAAGAGGTTGTGAACAGAAAAAGTTTAAGAAGCCCTGGGATGTTCAAGTCCTCCACGCTAAATATCTACTTTCAAAATATGTACAAAACTCCTATTTCTACCTAGGAGTTTAGTTGGTGAAAACAGGTACTTAAAGAGGTATGGAAAAAACAGTGTTTGATTCCTTTTAAAACCCAAAAGATGCAGTAAGTATCTAGGGACTGAAACCAAGGCCCTGGACAGCCACCCAAGCACTCTATTGCTAAAGTAACCATCCTAGGGTCCCTCCTCCTCTGACCCTTTATTTTTGAGACAGGGTCTTTCTATGAGGCCAGGCTGGCCTGGAACTTAACAATCCTGCCTCAGTCTCCCAAATTCTGGAATCACAGGCATCATTACCATACCCGACCATGGAATACATTTTTCTTTTCTTTCTTTTTTTGAGACAGGGTCTCATCATGCATCTCTGGCTGGCCTGAAACTCACTATATAGACCAGGCTGACTTTGAAATCACTGCCTGCCTCTGCTTCCTGAGTTTAGGGATTAAAGGTGAGTGCCAACACCCTTGGCTGGGGACAAACTTTAAATCTTTATATAACATGGTTTCTGACAAGAGTTTAGATTTAGCTATTTTAAAAAGAATGGCATGAATATAAAAAGATGCAAGGACACAGGAACTTCTGCTGTGTTTTGAAATGAGAATGTCAAACAGCAGCTCTCTCCGTGAAATGAATACAGTAGCCATTCTGGATGGGACAGCATCATATTCCAGACCACCCCATAGTCAAAACATATACACCTCCCCTCTCTTATAACTGTCCAGTGGAGAACCCTAACTCCATCAGTAGGAAAGGCACTCACTTCCACAATAGCTACAGTAATTCTAGCCACCACCACCCATAAATCCAGTCATTTTCTATGCCATCAAAAAGGAAGCTGGGGCTGGGGAAATAAATGGCCCTGGCAGGTAAAGGTTCTTCTACACAAACCTCACACCTAGGGTTCCAGCTTTTGAACCTACATAAAAATGGGAGGAGAGAACCGACCCTATATAGTTGTTTTCTGACCTCCAAATGTGTGCAGTAACACATCTATCTCCCTTTTGCGTGTGCCCACGCACACACACCCACACCCCTAATACTAATAAAAAAGAGGAGGCAAAGACACAAATGAAACTGCCACAGGGTTGACTTTAAGATACACCATGGCTTTAGTAAGCATGAAATGTCTAAGGCTGAGAACTGTTAAGACAGACAGGGACTGCCTGCTTGGTTCTCTGCCATAATCCCTATGCCAAGAATAGTTAACCACAGTAACACATGGTGCTTCACAAATGTTTGCGGCATTTATGAGCGACTGCACCAGGACTCATGAACCACCATGAACTACAACACAGTGACCGCTTCATGACAGTAAAGACCACAGAGCTATCTATTTATGCTGCTGATAGAAGGCTATCTGTTTCAGTAAGACTAAAACATCAGATTTCCCAACAAGATGCAAGGCTGCAAAACAAATTGAGTTTGTCAACGAGATGCAAATGTGAGGCAACCCGTGCTTCTATTATGATGGGGCATAGCAGTGCCAGACACTTTGGTTTTCCGGTCCCATGATTATTAAGACACCCATTCTGCCAATTTTTATTTATTTGCAAGCACATATGTATAGGTCAGAAGTCAATCTCGGGTATTTTCCTCAACAGCTCTCTAGCTAATTTTCTGAGACAGGTTATCTCATTGAACCTTGAACTCACCAATTTGGCTAGACTGTCTAGTCATCAAGGCTACACAAGGATTTTACCTGGCTTTTATATGGATGCTCAACACCCGAACTCAAGTGCTCCTAGGCATGTGGCAAGCACATTACTGATGGAGCCATGCTACCATTACCTGCAGTTACTTTTACATGCATCTATGTACACCATGTACATCTGTAGTGACTGCAGAGGTCAGAAGAGGGTGTCGGAAGCCCTGGAACTAAAGCTATGGATGGTTAGGAGTCACCACGTAGATGCTGGGAATAGAACCCTGGTTCTCTGCAAGAAAAAACAAGTATTCAAATTTGCTAAGCCATCTTTCCAGTCCCCCCCCCCCCCCATTTTTTTTTTTCTTGAAGATCTTCTATATTCTACAAACTGGCCATGATGACGATTAGGGTAATAAGATAAGCAAATCTGGTGGGGTGGTGCTAAGCAGGAAGGATCTTGGGGTACTGGTGTGAGCCATCTGGCTTCAGGCCCTTGTGACATCTTAGTATTACTGGGCCTGTCCCCAAAGGGGTCTGAGAAGCATGCTCTTTGGCTGTCTGAGGTCCAGATGGTAGTGTTTGCTTGTCTCCTGAAGGTCCTCCTAAGGCTCCATACCAAAGCTTAAAGTGCTGGGGGAAAACATGATAGAAGCCATCAAATTCAGAAACAAAGTATCCTGTACACAGCTGAGGCAGGACCATGGAGGAGTTCAAGGTCATTCTCAGTTACATAGCTAATAGAGACCAATCCTGGCTACAGGAAATCCTGTCTCAAAACAAATAAATAGCACCCCCACCATGTACCTACTACAAAAGGGACACATATTTCATAACTCTAGAGATAACCAGGAGGCCAGGGAGATACTATTGAAAATTTCTTGGAAATGATACTGCTAGGGGAGAAGGGGTAGAATTCTTTGCTAAACAAGCAAGGGATGCAAAAGCATGGAGGTGAGAGAGAATGCTTGGTATCCTCAGCCTACAGGGTTTTATTGACTGCTAATGACTTAGAAAAGCAGGCAAGGACACCATGACTGACAGACTGTGACCTTCAGGGAGATTTGCTTTAGGAAAATGACCTGGGCTGGTTTGTGGAGAGCAGATTAAAGAAGCACAATGGAAGTCCGGCTTGGTGTCACATGCCCTTAATCCCAGAACTCAAGAGGAAGAGGCCCGCAGATCTCTGGGAGTTCGAAGCCAGCCTGGTTTCCAGGACAGCCAGGGCAGATACACAGAGAAACCCTGTGTTGAAAAACAAACAAAAGGCATAATGGAGTAAAGGAGTCAGCTTAGGGAACAGACAGTACAGAAATCTAGGTAAAGAAACCTCTGGTTAAGGCAGAGTAATCCAGGTTGTTGAGAAGGCAGGACAAACAGACAAAGTGTGTGGGTGGGTGTGGAGGATGAAGAAAAGAGTCCATGGCAATGTGGTGTGTCTGTGTGGTGAAAAAAGTAAGTATGAGCCCTAGGGGAGGATTAGCAGGAAAGAGTAGGTATTTTGGGGGAGCAGGAGTGGATCCCATTTTTGACACTGGGACAGCCAGGTTAGTACCAGGCTAGGAGCACTAATCTGAGGGGAGGGTAGCAAAAGTCCACCTGGGCTACCATGTTAGGTTTAGGAACTACCAGCACAAGTATTAAGGAAACTTGTAAACCTGAGAGTAAACCGAATTTCCTGGGGCAATCCTTAACAGAAACATTATGGGGGTGGGGAGGGATTGCAGCTGCCAAGTCGGCTCAGTAGATAATAGCATTTGGTTCATAAGCCTGTCTACCTGAATCTGACCTCTGGATTCCAGGGTGGAACGGCACACATGTAATAATTAAAAAAAAAATTATTTTAGTTTTTATTCCTCTATCAGACTTCCCACAAAAGGTTCTCTCTTCCTTTTTTAGAGATAAGATCTTACTTGTCCTGTGGCCATGTCTGCCTTCAGCCTCCCAAGTGCAGGAATTAATGGTGTGAGCTACCACATGGGGCAGATTTCAATTAAAGAAAACTTTCTTAGATTTGTTTTAGGTGTATGTGCACCACGTGCATGCCTGGTGTCAGCAGAGGTCAGAAGGGGGCGACTCCTCTCCACTGGTTGTGAGCTGCCATGTGGGTACTGGGACTCAAACCGCTGAGCCATTTTTCCAGTTCCCCATATTTCAATTTTAAGCAGATGTCTGGCTGCAACCTGAAACCTCCACAGCACGCTGCAGTCCAGACTCTGGATCGCTTAAGTAAAAATCTTGCAAAGCACTCCACGGCAGTTTAAAATCCAAAGGAGAAAGCCAGTGATCTGGTCACATTGCCTCCAGGCTCAACTTCATCTCAACACGCCCCGCGCGCCAACTTTTGGGTTTCTCTGGCCTAGGGCACCCTTAGCTCTTTCCTGCGTCTGCCTGGCTGGCTTCCTCCTTTCAAAGCCTCACAGTGCACAAGAGGCTTCCTTTGGAGAGACTTTCTCCTGCACTTTTCCACACTACTGGCATAACACACATCCTCCACCGCCACAGGTCCTGCCACCACACTGCCAGAGTTCCTCCGGGGCTGGAACACAGCCTCAACTCTCTCCCGCACACCAGCGCCTGCAGGCGCTGTGCAAGGGAAGCAAACGAGAAACGCAACCGGGCCTCGGCGAGCTGGGCTAGTGCTGAG